AGTTAGAAGTTGTGAAAGAGCTGGAGTGGGATAAGAGGGTAAGAAGTAGATAGATGGGTCATGACAGAAAGAGGAGTGATAGCACAACCGTTTTGGCAGAAAGTTTAATCAAGGGATTGACTTCACTTGTCGCTAACGCGTTGTAACTTGATGCTGAGACTGGCAAGACTCACTGATGATGCCGGCGAAATGTCTGACGCTGAGAATTATGATAATTACTCTGCCAGAGGATTTGGGACAAGGTGCGTCAAACTAAGTAACCCTGACAACAAGACCGAGTTGCTAAAACGAGGTCAGGAACATTCATTGTTGATAATAATTTGAGATTCCTCCTTGGCTAACGAGTGCATAGAGCATTGACACCCGGTCCTTCGGGTGTCATGCATCTGCTCATCTGTCGTTTCAGGTTATAGAGAAATGGTAGCCAACTGAACTCATGTGCTATTTGTTGGCCAAATTGGTACCTCCTTCCTTCTATTAACCTTGAGAGCCGAACATCCTTTAGCGGAGAATTCATCCGTTTCATTCCAGTAGCGTCTAAAATTATATTATGGGTATACATAACCTATAGATCCATTCTGACCAGTTTTCGATGGATATGAACTGCATCCACCCAAGACAATAAAATACAATAAAGGCCTTGTCTTTGGAGTTTTTCTTAATGCTATGAGTAGTCCTTTCAATGTAATTGAATCTAACTTGGCCTAACCCTTTAAAAGGTAATTGTATTCAGGATAGACTTCAAAATTGGTGGAAAATTTCCCGCTATAATCCACCCATAGTTGTGAAATGAATGAGACTCGCCACACAGAAGTGTGGCGTAGTGCTAAGAAGTAGAAAATATATACCACTCTGGTTCGATTCCCGTTAAGGGTGGGGATAAGACCCAGGCAAGGTTAAAACTGCAATTCAGCCCAGCTAATATAAACTTTTGTGATTTATTGGAATCCTGAGGTCTACTCATAACATTACAGCAAAAACCTCTCTTTTAGTCCTCAAATCACTTTATGCGATTTAGTTTGACGAAATTATTATTCAGAGATAGTAGCGTATTGCGAAACACTAAACATTCTTTGATTACACAATCAACTATTTTAAACATACGCTAGATACAAAAGATTCTTTACTTTTCTAGAAATATCGCCCAAAATAGCCCTGCACCGATGGTTATTTGGTGTCGCGAGGACTGATACTTAGTCTGCCCAAGAGGAAACGGAGAAAAAACATGACCTGAAGCGAATTTTGCTCTGTTTTATTATATCCTAAATAAGTTAGTCTCGAGTCTTAAGACCTTCCTCCTGTTTGACGAAGCTTGGCCTCAGGATATGTCTGTCACTGAGTTCAAGTGTTCTGTCTTAGCATAACTATGGAGGTCTTTGCAATGACTAGGAAAGTGGGAATCCTATGTCTGCATCAAATGTGAAAGCACTTTGGCTGCTCAAAGTGAAATATCGGATTTGATTAATTAGTTATTTGGGTGTTATTTGCCATCTTGAAGAGAAATCATGATATGGTCAAAAAAATAGTGTTGAGAACATTGCAATTTTGCTGAAAGTGTGTAATGAAGAGGTTTGTAGACCATACTAACCAGAAGATAACTTCGGCTTTCTCCTGGTCTGCTATCTTGATTTAACTGGTACCTTCAGATTATAGCATTTATAGGGACATCTTCCTATGAAACGGTCTAATATTTGAAATCATCATGGCAGAAGGCACAGGACTAGGTATATTAGACAAGTTCTCTCTGCTTCTCCGACCCATTGAGAAAATGAATTCAAACCAACTCTATACTAAGTTTTCGTGTGAAATGCCACTTTACGAGCATCATTATGTCTGAAAGTTAACCTTTTATAAAAACTTCAGCACAAAATAAGTCCAGAAAACAAACCAACTTACTTCTGTCCGCTATTGAACCCACACGAATTAAACTCTCCTGAGGTGTGAAGTAATGATGAGTTGTTATGATCTTATTTTAGCACATTTGTAGGGCTAACATAGAGACCTTGTAGAACGGAACTAGTTCTGCTTTTCTGTCGTCGAAGTCATGATAATTTCTAACATTGGACCTTGTTTTCGCAACTTGACCGTATTGTCAGGGAGACCTAGATGAACGCACATTGTCCTGAGTCCATGGAATCCACGATCCTTTCCAGAGTCAAGCCGTGGACCTGCTACATTCCCGGACGTTTCGCCGGCTTCGCCAGTGAGCCTTGCCATTCTTAGCACCACACTACAACTTGTCAAAGAACCAAGGAACAGAATAGAAAATTAGTCAAGGGATTGCCTTCTCTTGTCACTTTGACGAGATCTGGTATGGTATGAAGAATAGTAAATCTCACTAACGATTCGGGCAAAACATCTGGGAATGTACTTCGTCCACGGTCCGGCTTCGGAAATTATCATGCATACTATGGACTCCGGATAAGGTGCGTTCCTCAGGTCTCCCTGACAATACGACCAAGTTGCGAAAACAAGGGCAAACAATTTCCATACAACAAAAGGAAACCCCAGCCACACTAAAGGCCACACCATCTTGGTCTTCATACGTTCGATTGGACTATTTGATTAAAACATTCGCTGAAGTTTCGCCGAGGTAATAGACAGCAGCTTCATCGGGACTCGAACTATGACAATGCAGCGTACAATCTCGCCACCCCAGATCCCCATTAATGTCCTTGGCTCTCAGGGCAGATGTGAATTTTACGAAAGGCCAGATATTTTCATATATCACATTTTGCGGTAGGATTGTCGATGAAGCACAGTTGTATTTGTTATAGTAATCGATTTAATTACTTTTTTCGATTGTAAGTAGATTTTGGAGGCTGCCGGTAGATCATATATATTAGACGTATTCACCCTGTTTCGTGTAAGGTGTAAGAGGACGAGTAGTTGATATGATATGATATGAGTATACCTTACGGTTCCATTGAATTTCGCATAGCTTTGCCTTCACAAAAGGTATTCTCTTCCAGGCGGGGTGAACTCCAGTTTCGTCCTCGCCTAAGTCTCATCAGCACTCCCAGCGGGACTTGAACCATGAATGTGCAGCGTATAATCTCGACACATCAATCACTTCGCCGTATTGCCATGAATATCCTTGCGTCACAGGGCAAAAGTGAAATTCGCGGAAGGCCAGGCATTTTCTCATATCACTTCACTTCATCAACAATCCCACCACAGAATATGATATTATAACATGCCTGGCCTTCATTGGAATTATCATCTGCTACGTGGCCCGAGGGCACTTGTGGCAGTCTGGCTCATCGGTTAACGTGGCGAGAGTAGAGACTGCATTGTCATGGTTCGAGTCCTGCTGGAGATGCTAATGAAACCTGAGTGAGTTCTAAATCACAGTCAACCCTAAATAAAAATACGTTTTGGAGAGCAAGGCTATGGGAAATTTAATTGAAACATGAGGTCTACTCATATCATTGTGGAAAACTTCAACTACAAGTCATTATATTTATATAAATATATATATGATCTAGTGGTAGCCTCGAAAACCTACTTATCAACGAAAAAATAGCTAGCAGTGTCAGTGAAAGACTTGATCATTTTAAAAATTCAAAGTTAAGCCCAAACTACTGTTCAACGGTTGTGGTCATCTCTCCTCCCTCTTCCGGTGTAACTAAGTTATAATTTCGTGGCAAGGATGGCGCCTCCCACTGACGAAACTGATTAAGATGCCAAAAGCTTCTAAGTCCATAATCTTATGCTGAAAATGATCATGACTTCAAAGAGACATGACGCGGTAATAGATACGTTCTATAACGTCTCGTTGTCACCCCGACTAATTTGCCGCATAAATACAGATCAAAGAAAATGAGATCAAACATACGGCCATATCATCTTGATTTTCATATTTGCAATAAAATAATTTTTTCTACACTTTCACTTGACTTGCATGCTTCTATAAGAACTGAATTAACCCTAGGCCGCATAGGGTGATGAAGGACTGATAGTGACATTTCCCACAACGACATGAATACGCCTAACGATGACATGGAATTTTCCTCAGCTTTGTCTCACAAAAGGTTTACTTATACAGTGTATACTGTAGCTTCTGTCTGAAGGGTTGCATGATTTAGTGGGTAAGTGTCGCCATTTTATATTCATGACCCTGGTTCACTTGCTGATGAAGGTGCTGATGAGGCGTAGACGAGATCGAAACTGTTGTTTAGCCTAAAAAAACTAAGATGGGATAAGAAGACAAACTAGGTTTCGAAGAATTCCATTGTGATGTATTCTAACATGACTTTCTGTTGCAAAGGAAAAGTTGGTTGGAATCAATTCGTGATGTGGTCTCACCGGAAACTAAAGGAGGATTCCGGTTTAGAGAAGACGGTTGCATTGTGAAATGAAGTCTCCAGCTCATCGTCCTGCGACCCCGATCAACCTGTGCTAAGAGCTATTGAGCAAGTGAAGGGGCCTGGAATAGTATCGAAGGTTGCTAGGAGTATCACACCTCTTATGAC